CTTTCCCTTGCACCGTATCCTGACATTCAGGAAAGACGGTACAGTGGCACTAGCAGAGCGATTTGGTTTCCAGGTGCTTTGTTAACACCAGGGAGCTCTACTGGTGTTAGGTCAGCTCTGTCTGAATGGCATGGCTGGCATGTGAGCAAGAGAGTAGCAGAGTGGAGCTGGGCTTTGTTCCATATAAATGCCAGGCTTGAACTGGACACAGATTGCCTTTCTTTTCTGTTGAAGTTGGGAGGTGTGTGCAGCTCTTTATACGTAAGGTCACATATTTGTTTGGTCACCAAGGAAGCTATATTTGGAGTGAGATTTAAAGAGCCTGAAAACCGGTCCAAGCAGCTTATAGCCGGAAGTAAAACAAAGCAAAAGGATGTGTTAGCAAGTGGGAAAGTCTGCCTGCTGGGTTATAGCCTGCTTCTGTGTGGACTTGACTGTTCTGTGGGACCCAAGTGAACCTGTAGGTTTGTTTCTGTTTTTGTTTTTTTTTTAAGCTGCACCGCACAGCTTGTGGGATCTTAGTTCCTCAACCAGGGATTGAACCCTGGCGCTTGGCATTGAGAGTGATCAGTTCTAACCACTGGACTGCCAGGGAATTCCCGAACCTGTAGGTTTGACTCCAGAGGGGACTTGAATATAAATGTTGCCAGCACTTCATGGCTGCTCTTTACTGGTACTGGCCACTTGCCAGATTCTGCTTCCTCAGATCACAGTCTCCCGAAAAGAAGAGTCATCTGGGACCAACCAGGCTGCACTGAATTGATCTGGTTGTGCCTTACACGCATGCACGCATAATGATTGATTGCTCAGAACGAGTTCTAGGATTACTGTTTTTCCTCTAGTTTATTCTTTAAATTTAACCTTAGTTTTGAGTCTCTTAGTTGGCTGCTGCATCAAATGCTTCTTTTTTTTTGGTGGTACGCGGGCCCCTCACTGTTGTGGCCTCTCCCATTGCGGAGCACAGGCTCCAGGTGCGTAGGCTCTGTGGCATGTGGGATCTTCCCGTGCCGGGGAACGAACCCGCGTCCCCTGCATCGGCAGGTGGACTCTCAACCACTGCGCCACCAGGGAAGCCCGATTCTTTGGTTTTATAGGTTGCCTCCCAGTGATGCCAGATGGGATCAGCACAGCCCCAGGTGCTAGTTGCTAAGGCCTATAAAATACCACCATCTCCCCCCAAAAGGAGAATCATTTAAGAGTTCTTTGGACTTCATCTTCAAAAGTAGCCAAAGAATTCAAGTGACGGTATCCCAGAAAATCTTTTGCAGTTAGTGAAATTAGGGTATAACTAAGAACTTTCAGAATACTACACACGCAGTTTAGCGATCTTGATATCGTGGTGGGACAGCAGTGATTATAAAATGAAAGTAATTAACATGTGCATGCTCTGTTGGGGAGACTAAAAGGAAAGAGGTGTTCAGCCTAGAAAAACATTTCTCAGTGGATTTCCCATGAAGTCAATGTGTCTTGGGTTTAACTTTGAAACAAATTAAAAAATTTTAAAACTGACTTACTAGCATTTGTGGATTTCAGATTGAGACCCATGTAAAAGCAATGTTTTATTCTGTGACTCAGCATATTCTTTTATAAGTGAAAGTTTCAGAATAGTTGCGGGTAACAGGATGCAATCAGATGTTTTGGTGTTTATAAGTTTCCCACCAAATTGATCTTATACCCCTCTGACCGGTTGACAGGTTTTGGTAACTACAGATGTGATGGGAATAGGGAAAAATAAAGTATGGATAAAAATGGGTCCAGGCATCGGGAAGCTATGGTTTCTCAAGTAGCTGCTTTAGTCACTAAAGCCTAAATGTCTGTTCACTTAATCACATATCTCAATTTCTAAAGTAGCATTTTGATTCACCCCTCTTGTTAGGTGTGTTGATAGGGTCGTCCCTTCAAAACCACAGACCCAAGGGCCAGGTTTTGGGCAGGGAGGCTCTTGCCTACCAGACCTGTGGAGACATCCCCCTGTCCCCTCCACTGCCTTGCCAGGTAGGGTGTAGCAACATCAGACTAGACATCAGAACAGTAAATCCCAGGGTTTGCTTAAGGGGTAGTATGGTGATAACTCAGTTGGTTTACACTTCTAATAGAAGCCCATGTAATCTAAAATAAAACTGCCTATATCAAGTCAAATTATTGAAGCCATGATGTTTAGTGTCTGATAATGAGGGTTCATTACCCAGTAATGTCCTTTTGGTGACAAGGTGGTAATACATCTCCAATGGGACTTTAATCAGGGGCCAGCAACCTTCTGCATGGTTGACTCCCATCAAATGCCAGAACCTTCCCGTGGTTCTTGGATTCTGAATTCTTTGTGCTAAACACCCTGCATGATACACTACTTTCCCCAACACACACAGACACAGTGCTTATCTACCATTTATGCAATTATCTAGTTTCAAATCACATTCTGCCTTTTGTGCTCCCACTTTATTGGGGCAGAATTGAGTCGGTCCTGTTCTCAGAAAGGCTGTTCCGATATGTCCTTGAGTTGAACTGCTTTGGAGTTTGTGTGAAGCTGGACATGCTAGTGGGAGGATTTGGGCTGAGAAGCGTGCATTTGGTTCTACTGCTGCTTGATCTTTGTTAACTGGGAGACCCTGAGCCGCTCCACTGACCTAGTCACTGTGCCACTACTGTCTTAGGAACGCTCAGCTATGAAGGATGCCTGCCTCACGCTGGTGAGGGTCAGTCTCACCTTGAGCGTGTTATTTTCGGTTTTAAAGACAAATCCAGCAGAGAGCAGTCCGTTTTTTCTTGGCCAGGGTTGGGATGTCTGCCTCAGACCAGATGAGCTGAGGACAAAGTGGGGTGTTCCACAAAGAACAGGCTTCAGTGACAGTCACACATCCACTCGGTGTCCTCTGTAGGGAAGAAGTGGGGGGAGGGTCAAGGACAGTTGGAGCCCCTCAGGCTGAAAAGACCAGAAGCCAGCTTTGGCCACTTGAGGGGCCTTTCCTCAGCTCTGCAAAAACACAAAGGTCTTGGGTGCTTCAGGGTCAGCGCTGGTACAGCCAAAGGATGCCAGCCTTGTGCAGGTCCTTCCACAGGGTGGCTTCCAGGGACATATCATGGTTCATGTAGAATATCAGTGGCTTCTTTATTCGTTCGAAATAGTGGTCAGAAAATTTCTGGTAGTTGCTTGTGATGAATCCATAGGCACTAACCTGGACAAGGACAGTCATTGAGTTAGCATTTATTGCACTTCCACTATGTGTAAAGTGACGTGAATTTAGAAAGCCACGTCCCCCCCTTCCTTAACTACTTTGTGTTGTGTGAAGGTGAGGATAAACAGTTCTTGCCCACACTTTAATACCCTGAACTGTGCTCTTTCTGCACATTTTCTCACTCAGCCTTACAACCATCTTGGGTAGATATTGTCCCCGTTTTACAAATGGGGAAACAGGCTCAGAAAGGTAACCAAACATGTGTCCCCCATCACAAGCTAGTAAGTAGCTGGGCTGGATTTTGAACTCGGGTCTGTGACACCAAAGATGTGATCATCACTGTGCTCAAGATAGAGGCAAAAAGCCCCTTACCTCCTATTCTAGTGGTGACTTCAGACAAGAGACTCCTGTTTAAAATGGGGAAAAGGTGACCAGAGTCCAGTGGTGCCTGGCCTCAGTTCTTGTGCTGGCTTCAGCGTGGGTCACTACCTTTTCTTGAAAACTGCTTCTCACCCTCTGTCTCCGCGCACATCAGGTGGGCACCACCCCATCGAGAATGTCTCATACAGTGATTTCAGAGATTCCTTGTGTAGAAGGCTGCCCACCTCAGTTCTAGAATGTCTTCACAAAAAGGTGTCTCTGCCCACTTTTGTTGAGAAGATTTTGCTTTCACAAGAGCAGTTGGATAAAATGTGCCTTAAATACCGTATGGAGCAGCTGCCCTGGGGCAGAGGGGGTGAAAGAAGCCAGCCCAGGGGAAGGTGGCTGTGATTGGGAAGGCAAGGCTGGCACAGGGGACTGTCCTATAAGGGACCCTGAAGACCACTTCTTCCATCCTGTTCCTGAGACCAAGGTCACTCCTGCAGCTGGGGCATCCTTCCACCACAGGATAGAGGCCCAGAGTCCCAGATCTGGGCTAGCAGGCCTCATGTAGGGGATATCATGGATCGAATTCGGTTCCATTCACACGTACTTTGCTGCTGTGGGCTCCTGAGAGAGAAGACCTCTTACCTGGTCACAGGTATGCAGTGCTGTCAGCAACATGAGGGCTCCAGTACTAGGCATGTATAGGTCTCTGAATTTTGTGTTAATCCACTTGGATTTCAGAAACCTGGAATCAAAAAGAGCCATCAAAACTCAGGACTTTTGGTCTTGCACACTAGCTAGCTTGATGGTTGTGCCATTACACCAATTCAGTTGGAAAACTGCAAAAATTTCTTGCCCTTCTACCCCAACCCATCCCCTATTTGGGAAAAGACCAAATGAACTATATGCAAAAATCTTTGGTTGAGATAACAAAGAGGAACAGGTCCTCCCAAAGGACCGCAGGTGAGAGCCTTCCCCTTCCTCCCACTCTCTAGAAGCCTGAATCCAGTCTAACCTTTCCTCTCTGCAACACCCTCCTGCACCACAATGTCTAGGGCAAAGGTGGTCTAGTTAATTAGCCGGAGGTCTAAGCTTCTACCTCCAGACTTTGGCCAAGCAGGAGCCATGTATGCGGACAGAGCACACACGTCCTGTGACTGGAGGCACCGGCAAGGTGATGCGTGTGTGTGTGTGTGTGTGCGCACGCACGCACGTACGTACACACGTTCAGAGACACCCAGAACAGTCCAAAAGTGAGGCCACAGTATGGTGACCACAGGGCTTGACATCAGCCCTGGATTCGCATCTGGGCTTTGCCAGGCAAATCACCTATAGCCTCTCAGCCTGGTCTTCCTCTGTTGAGTGGTCTTCAGTTTGCCTCCCAGACCCACCTGCCACCCCTGGCCTGCTCTGTGTCTTAGGATGCTACCCTCTGAGCTATAGTAGGGTTTCTCAGCTGTAGCACTACTGTTACTTAGGGCCAGGTCTTTGTTGCAGGGGCTGAGGTCTCGTGCGTTGTAGGATGGCCAAGCAGCAGCCCTGGCTTCTGCCCACTCGTGGCACACACGCTTTCCTAGTGACAACCAAAAATGTCTCCAGACCAGCACAGTTGACCTGCCTCCTGCTGAGAACCGCTGGTAGGAGTGGGGTGGGGTTTGAGATCTGCAGGCAGATGTTCCCCAGGCTCCTCCCATGGTCTCCTGTGTTTGAGCTGTGATCAGGCCCGCAAGTGATGACAACTCGGCTTCTAGCAGTCCCAATACAGCCCCACATCTGTGGTCCCCCCATGCCTGACCTAAGGCTTTCTGAGCATTCCTAGTAAGGAAACCTGATGAGTTCCCTCTCCATTTCCCATCTACCTTGACTGAGAACACCACCTCCATCAAGGTATACTATTCAAATAAAGTAGTAAGTGAAGCCGTGTAAGTGCTTGGAGCGTCCTTGTACGTGGCCCCCCTGTGGGTTTAATCCTTGGGGGATAAAGCCGGTGCTGCCGGTGGGTGTGGAGCCGGGGGCGGGGCTGAAGCAGGTCTTCCCAGCACCACCCCTGCCCCCACCTACCTCTCTGTCAGGTAGCTGATGAAGTCTGGATGGAGTAGCTTGAATTTGCTGGCGGAGGCTTCTGGTCCAAAATAGGTCTGAGGCCTAGGACCCACGATAGAAGTGGACAGAGGGGCCGGTGCTGTCGTGCGGCCCGTTGGGGAGGGAGGAGAGGGGAAGGGCGCCGGGACGCTGGCGGCGTGTGGACCGGTAGGGGCGGGGCTGGGCGTAGTAGCGGGAAAAGGGGGTGTAGAAGGTGGCGGGCAGCACCGTGGGGACCACGTGCGGTTTCCCGCCCACCAGGACCTCCGAGGGCGGGGTGTACGTGAGAGAGGAGGGGGGTGTGAACAGAGCGGGAGGGGGCGGGTAGGAGCAGTTGACCGGGTGGGGAGGAGGGGGAGGGAGGAGAGGGAAGTAGAGAGACTCAGGGGGGGCGCGCCCTTGGTTCTGGGAAGGGCAGGGGAAGCACTGGTTTTGGGGGAGTGGTGAGGTGGGAGGCCGGAAGAAGGGGGGCTCCTTCAGGAAGTGGGGCACATAGGGGGCGATGTAGGGCGGGATGCCCCGAATGGGCCCGATATAGGAGGCCGAGGGTGCAGGGCTGTAGGATGGGGGCTGAGCACCGGGCACAGGGGGGATTTGGGAAGAGTTTCGAGAGAGAGATTTTAAGCCAGATTGGGAGAGAGATTTGGAGGTGGGTGGAGTGATGTTTTGGGCAGACCCTCGCGGCTGGACATGAGGGCTAGGGGTCAGGGAGGAAGCCCGGGAAGAGGGCTGTGAGGCATTTGGGGTGGCAGGCTGAGAGGCGGGGTGGGAGGAAGACCCCCGAGTTGGGGACGGGGAAGGGGCTGAGCCACCAGTGCTGGCGTAGGGCTGCTGGTTGGTGTGGTTGGATCGGGACTGGGAGGGGGACTGGGAGGGGGACGGATTAGGGGTGTGGGAGGGGGAGCTCATTGGTGTTGGGGAGGCTTATGTCCGCCCGATGTCTTTGAGCCAGCTCCCCCAGAGCCAGTCCCATCCCGGTCACAAAGCCCACCCTCATGACCAGCTGCAGCATTGTGAGCTCTTGCAAGGGATTGTTAGGTAATCATGAGGGGGGGTGGGGCACAGGGCAGGGCTGGTGGAGCCCCGCCTGGCCTCTGAGGGCTTAACCCCCAAGGAGGCCTCAGAAGCTGCTCTTTCATGGTGGGTGAGATGTCCTGGGGCCACCGAGATGGGAGGCTGGTCATTGTCACGGAGGTGGCACAGATTTCTAAGGACCTGACTCAGGGACAAGAAGTCGTCTCAGCACCACAGGGAGGAGGTTTAGATGAGGCCAGGACATGGTTCAAAAGAGCTGGACACAGGCCTGCTGCCCAGGAAGGTGGGGGAGAAAAGACAGAGGGCCCTTTGTTCTCACCTCGCCGGACACTGGACCCACATCTCCTGCTCTCCCATTTCATGGGCAGTCTTGGGAGGGTGCCCGCCAAGAGGAATAGAATGGATACTGGCCCCCACTCTTGGTTTCCAGACACAATGTGCTGGACAGCTCCTGCGGCTGCCACGGGCTGGGTGGCTGGGTTGTTTGTGGGGACAGCAGCCTAAAGCTGAGGGGCCAGGCGTGCCTGCTCAGAAAGGAGCCCCTCGAACCTACAGCCCACCGTGTCAGGAGGGTCCCTGGGGACCAGCAGTGTTACCTAGGCTTTCCTGGGCGTAGGAAAAGAGCTTAATCTAATGCTCTGTTGAACTCTTGGGGGTTTTCTTGCCGCCTTCACCCACCTTTCCCATCCGACAGTGGACCCTGGGAGCGTTACCATGCCCTGCCCCCTGCCTGGCTGCTCACCTGTCCCCTTTATCAGGGCCCTCAGGGACAGGCACACCTAGAATGGCTGATCTCAGCATCATGTAGTCACGGATGTCTGAGGGAATGAAGATATAGCGCAGGTCCTGTCGGAGGGACAGAGAAACAGCCACAGTGGGAACGAGACCACGTCAAGATCCTGCTCAGAGTGGACAGCTCTCCGCCCAATCTGTCTGCCCTGATGGGAGCATTTCCCCCTTATGCCTGTAATTCCCACTTTCAGGTACCCTGCTGGTTTCAGTATTCCAAATCCTTTGATACTCTTCCCTTCAAGAAGTGATGCTTAATTGCCATCCCCTTGAGTGTGGGCTGGACTTAGTGACTAATGAACAAAATTTTTCTAATGCGTAGAAAAAAGTGGAAGTAAGGAAGGGTATGTGACCTTGGAAAGTGGGTCATAAAAGGCACTGGAGCTTCCTTGCTCTCTGGGATCACTCACTCTGGGGGAGCAAGGGCTGTGGGGGAGCCATCTGAGCTCCGGCCAGAGGCAGACCTGAGGACTGCAGCCCCTGCCCGTCCTGACTGCGACTGCTGGGGGACCGTGAGGAGACCCCGCTGAGCTGCTCCTGAGTTCCTGACCCATGAAAACTGTGAGATAATCGGTGTGTGTTGCTTAAAGCTACTAGGTTTGGGGGTAGTTTGTCATGCAGTTACAGATAATGCTTATAGGTTCTGTGGCTACACCAGAAATGGAGCTGTCCCATGTTGTTCTGTCACGAGCTGAAAGAGGCCTCGGTGCACAGACACTGTGGCTAGGACACCCCTGAATTCCCTGGTCAGAGGAGGAAGTGTCTAGAAACTCAAACCAGTCCTGTTGAGCAGCCCAGAAGCCTTATCCTGGGACCTCCCTGTTGCATGTGGTAACCAGCCCGCTCTAGAAGCGAGGCACTGTGTTACAGCCACTAGCTGTGGTTGAAAGAACCTGTAAGCGGCAGACAGACTCAGATTCCAGTTACCCTGCTCCGAAGCTGGGGCTCTGGGCATGTTTTCCTCGATTGCTCAGCTGAACCTCAGCTTCCTGCACGGTCTGCTGTGAGCCCTCAGGAGGGCACACATCATTCTTCTAGTGGGCAGCGTGAGAAATGGAAACAACCCAAGCACTGCGGTCAGAGGGGCCTGGATTTTGATGATTCTGGCTGGGTGGTGGCCTTGGACACATCGCCCTCTGGAAAGGGGCTGCTGTGATGCCTGTATCCGGCGCTGGGAAGGGGGGAGGCACTCAGTAAATACCCTCCCACTGTGTGTAGCCTGAGCTCTGGATGGGGGGGGAATCTGGATTTGAATCCAGTCCCACCGCTGCTTTACTGACTGAAGGGGCCCTGAGCCTTAGTCTCCTCACCAGTAAGAGAGGGCTGGCGTGGCCTCTGTAAGTGCCTGGCACTCCATAAGCTTTCAGTCAATATTATCCATTCGTGTTCCACCCCAGAGTTGTCCTGAGCCACCTGAAACCACAGGGCGCCCCTGCCCAGATCCGCCCCTTCTGTGGCTCCATTGCGTGGGCCCAAGACCCTGGCACAGCCTCTCTATGCACTGGGCTGGGGCTTGGGAACCCTGTGGCCCACCCCTCAGGCGCGGGTTGGGAAACAATGGCACCGACTGTCAGTGGCAGCCTCACCTGTCCCTGTGGCACAGAGGTGAAGCCCAGGTTTGAGTAGGAGATGAGGGAGTTCTTCATTGTGTTTACAGTGAAACCGTAGAAGGAGGTCTTGGTGCCCACGTCATTCTCAAAGCCTTTGATCACAGCACCATTGAGTCTGGTCCAAACAGAGGCCCATCAGCCTGCTTGTGGCTACACGATGCTGCGTGTTTACTTCCATCCCCAGGGGGCCTCACCTGTCCCTGTTCCATCCCCAGGGTTCTGTCACTCCCTCTGCCCACAGCAGCCCCAGTGCCCGGTCACTAGCCCCATCCCCACAACTCGGGACCTGAAGGGATGCCTTGTGAAGTGGACAAAGCTGACCCTGGCAGCTCCTTCCTCCTGGGTCCCCTTAGCCGACCACACCCTCGCTCGTCTTCAGGGCCTGTTTCCGTAATGCCTTTGTCCATGCCTGTCTGCCCATTAAAACTGCTGAGCTGCCTGAGGCCACTGTTGCCTTGGCCCGTGCCCTCACCTATGATGCTCCCCTGGGGGCTGGCTGGGGACCAGCTCTCCACCCAGCTCCTCTCCTGCTTCCTCCCTGGCCCCTGCCCCACATACCTGAACACGTAGTCATGGGCATCGATGTTCTGACCCTGGCGGGAACCATTCAGAATGCCTCCGTTACCCACCACAGCACACCGTATGCAGCCCGGAAGCAGCTCCCTGGAGACAGCAAACAGCCTGGTGCTCTCAGAGCTATTCAGGAGGCTCAGGGTGGAGGCGATGGCTGTGGGTGTGGGACAGGGTGGGGCACCACGAGGGGTCACATGGGTCATTGGGGCCTTCCCAAGACTTCCTGGCTCCCCACCTGCCCGAGGCCTGACACCAGCCCCTCTCCAGAGGCACAGAGGGTGGAGGACAGTGAAATGCCAGTGGGAAGAGGGTGGTGGGGCAGGGGGTTTGGCTGTGCCCTCAATCATCTCAAGAACCCATACCAGTCCTCCCAGGACTGTGTGTATTCCCAAGGAAAATAATCAGAGGCATGGTGGGGTGGGGGGCAGATTTAACGTGGAGGGGGCTCTGGGCGGTTTCCCACAGCAGCAACTATCTGCAGGCTGTTTGAGGCCCCACAGCCTCTGTCCTCGGCCACCTTTGGGCACTGGCATCTTTCACGCCAGGGAAGCCCCAGGATAGTGAGAGCCACTTGCAGGGGCAGCCAGGCCCCTCTTCTGGACACTGTGGTGCTTCTAGAGATGGGGGGGGAGTCAGGAGTCGCACAGCAGGGGTGTCGAGCCCTGAGGCCCGCCTGGGAGGAAGAGGCAGGGGGTCCACATCTTGGTGCTGTGAGGGAGGAGAGGCCCATTCTGCACCAAGGCCAAAAGCAGGAGCAGTTGAGGCCAGAGGGCTGCAGGCTACCTTGGCTGGAGAGCCCCTGCCAGCCATAGGGGGCTTTGTGCCGGCTCAGGCTGTCCCAGAGCTCCTGGGTGAAGAGGTTCCCTGACAGCAGCACTGGAATGGAGAGATCAAACAGATCCCGGAAGTGAGGGTGCCGTTGAATGGTGAGATAAAGTGGGTGTCGACAGGGCAGGTTCTGTGGGTGAGAAGAGAAGAGGGCTGTTTCTGGGGGTTGGGGTGGGTAGGAGCCACCAGAGGGCTGGGAGGGAAGTGCTGCCCTTCTCCCTCTAGACTTGGGCAACCCCCAGATCTGCAGGCCCAGGTGGCCTGTAGTGCAGCAGCCCAGTGGGGGTGAGAGCTTTCTGGATTTACCCTGCCCAGCCCTTCTCCTGGATGCCACATCTCTGGGGCCTGATGGCTCTGGCCTCCTACAACTTCACCTCACACTTGGGGGGAACTTTGAGGTATTTTCCCACAAATGGGAAAGACCTGCCTGCCCTGTAGTGGAGGAGGAGGTCCAGCCTGGGCTTAGGAATCCGTCAGCCTGGATCCAAATCCTAGCTCTGGCAGTCCTTGCCGTAGGATTCACGTGGAACGGGCTGCTGGGAAGATTTATGACATGTTTCTGCCAGTCTGTGCCTATACTGAATTGAAGTGTCCCTCCCCCCAATTCATGTCTGCCCAGAACCTCAGAATGTGACCTTATTTGGAAATAGGGTCTTTGCAGGTGTAATTAGTAAGATGAGGTCATACTGTATTAAGGTGGGCCCTAAATTCAATGACTGGTATTCTCATAAGAAGGCATGTGCTGATGGGGGCAGAGATTGAGTGATGCAGCTACAAGCCAAGAAACACCTGGAGCCTCCAGACGCCGGAAGAGGCCAGGAGGGATTCTTCCCTACAGCCTTCAGAGGGAGGCTGGCTCTGCTGACACCTTGATTTCAGACATCTGCCCTCTAGAACTGTGAAAGAATCAACTTCTCTTGTTTTAAGCCACCCAGTTTGTGGTAATTTGTTCCAGCTGCCATAGAAAGCCCTCCGGGGCCTCTGCACACAGCGACCTTGAAGGAGGGCAGTGTACCATAAAGGCCTCAGCTCCATCTGCCTGCAGCCCCCATGTCAGAATCCTGAACAGCCTCGGCTTGGGTGGAGCTGTTCTTCCCACTGAAGGGGGCTCTTTGTTAAGCTGTTGGTTTGATCAAAGGACAATGCAGGAAAGAGCTGTACAGTCATTTCTGCTATTATGTGACATATGAGTGCCTAAAAACCATTATGCAGAATTGTGCAACCAAAACCATACGGCTTTGGGGAAAAGGGATTAGCAGCGCAACACTCAAAAACTTGATCAGTGATGCATAAAATAAGGAAGAACGTGGGTAAGATAGAAGCAGTTTTACATACATTCGCTGGTTAAGAAATATATAAGTACTACTAAAAACATGGCCCTTGACCTTGGAAAAGACTTGACATTTTGCTTGGGGTTGTGGGTGTCGGAAGGGTGGCAGCTTGGGAGTTTTCGTGAAGTGGTGGAAAGCTGGTTATAATGTATGCGATGAAGCGGACAGCTATCTGAAGTGTGCGTGTGTGTGCCTTTTGTGTATTCCTACATGGCTCCCTTTGGTTGAGTGTGGTTTTCCACATGTACCAGTGTTCTTGCTGACAAAATCACTGAAAAACACACACGGAATTTGGATTATGCTCATGTTGTTTACTAATATAGCAATCTTTATGGAACAAATTCATGTTTTCAAAGCAAGCATTAAGCCGAACTGACAGCGCTAATTTCACTACTATTCGGTTTATCATAGGGATGTTTTCCAGGGCCTTCTTTACGAGGTTCCAAGAGAAAAATCTTCAGGTCTCCGTATCTGGAAAGGCTGCACTTGCCTTGGTCAGCTGGCTTGCTTTTTACCTCATGGACAGGGTGGCAAACTTTCCTTCTTTGCCATGGCTACTAGGAAGCTAAGATCCGGATATATAGCCCATCTCTTACACCCCGTGGCATATTTTTCAGGCACTTATCTGACGTCTAATTTTCCACCCTTTATTTTTCCTTTACCTGCTTCTTCATTTTATTCTTTTTTTTTTTGCCATGTCGTATGTGTCCGAAAGCCACCTCAAATCCTTTTTTTAAACAAGGTGGGGAAATATGTCAATTAGCACCAAGCAGCTCAAGGTGAAAAGGACTTTAGGAAAAGTAAAGGTGACCTGACCAAGCACTTAGAAGACCCTCGAGGCCTCTCTTCAGCCCGCTGGCCAAGTGTCCACCCGGCCTCTGTTATCAGGAAGGGGTCCCCATCACCTGCCCAGGGCTGCCTACTCTGTCTCTGACCGCTCAGCGGTCACTAAGTCTTGCATGGGGTGAAATCTTGCTCCCTGAGGCTTCAGTTAACAATTTCCAGTCTCTGGGGCATTAAAAACAACTCTTAAGCCTGAATCAAGCCAGAATTACACAGTCATCACCCCTCCCAACTGCAGCACGCAGAGGGGGTGAGGCCATATTGCTCAGTGGTTCAGAGCCAGGCTCTGGGGTCGAATGAGAAGCTTGAACCCCTGTACCACCTCTTCTCCATGAGTGACCTTAGCCTTTCTGTGCCTCATTTTGCTCATCTGTAAAACTGCCTCACAGGCTTGCAATGAGGCTTAAGTGAGAGAACTCACATAAAACACTTGAGACGGCCTTTCAGGCCACAGCCAGCGTGATCTGTTATGGAGCAGGGCCGGAAGTGCTCAAACGTCTTCCCAGGGCTTGGTGTTTACTTCATGGTGAGCAGTTTAAATGTGACTTTTACAGTAAAAAGACATTTTGAGGAATAGAGTGTAAAAGTCACAGGACTTCTAAAGATAAAATCAAGACTTCCCAGAACTTTTCAGCTGGCTACACCCCAAGGAGTAAATATGGAGTCACCCTTCTCTGCTGTTGGGGTTCAGGGAACCCCCATGGTCAGGTCTGAGGAGCCCTGACTGGCTGGCTCCTCAGTTCTCTGCTTCCTTTGGGGGAATAGCAGGGGGTGCGTTCCAGAGTGCTCCCGCCCGGCAGGCTCCTGAGAATGTTCTCATTTGTGCTTCTATTTCCCCTTTTCCCCAAATGCTAACTTGAGAATGTGAGAAACCGCCACAGGGTAGCTGGCCCCAGTACCTTTCTCGTCCTAGAATTCGATGCCTTGGGTCCAAAGAAAGCTCCAGACGATGTGATGTTCCTGGGGGAGAAGGCAGAAGTAAAGTGGGGGTCTCACCTACCGCTGGAACCTGCTGTCTGGCTCTGTTAGCTCTGGGGGCTGACATTCCATCAGGGTCTGATTGTTTTTTCTGTGCTCTGATTCTTGCCCATCCTTCTCTCTTTGGGCACACAAAATACTGTCCTATTATTATGTTCTACCCAGAAACCAAGAAATAAAGAAGCCCCTTTTGCCCCAGATGGGCCACCCACATAATCCTGTAGTTCGTCTTTGAGGAACTGGGACTGTGGTGCTCAGCCTAGGTGGCCTTCGAGAATCCTAGGGAGCTTTTGCTCCCTCCCCAGTGATTCTAACACGCAGCCAGGCTTGGAACCTGATGGAGGAACTGCTGAATTGGTGGAATAGAGACAGAAGGGACAGAGTTGTGGGGTGGGGCTGGGGAGCCCCCCAATCCAGTTTTGCTGCTCTGAATTGCCCCAGCCTCAGGGAGGCCTGCTCCTCTCTCCAGAGCACCCCTTATGCTCACAGACCTCCCGCAGCCCCTCCCACTCCGGAATCCATGGGCATTTACACACCAGCCTGGGAGCTGGGAAGGAGTGGGGAAGGGGCCAGCCCAGCTCACCCGCACCCCTATGGAAAATTTAACCAGCCCGAGGAGGAAGGAGGTCGGTCGATGTTGTGCAGTTTTTCATAAAACTAAATTTACTCAACTTAGAGCATATTCTTAGGAATTCTTCGCCCTAAAATAGCCTTTTCTTTTACAAAATAATGTTGACAGTAGATGGTAACTGGCAGGTAACTGGCGTCCTGTAGTATCCTCACCCCCTCCTCCAGAAAAAAACAAGTCTAGAAATCCCAAGCCCAGGAACTACTGATTCAGATTCTTCTGTGAGTAAATTCCTGAACCGATTCCACTCTCTAACCTGCAAGGAGAGCTTGTCTCCGGTGTGGTAGGCCTGGCCCCAGGGCCTTGCTTCCCTGGACTCTCCACTGTAGCCAGCCAGGTAGGTCCGTTTTTGGTCCCCAGTTGGGGAGGTTGCACAGCCTGCTGTCCCCGCCCAGATTTCCATCCCACCTGCCACCCTGCTTATCCACCTCCTACCGAGACTGAGTCTGGACCTGGCCCCTGGGGTTTAGTTACAGCACAGACATCACCAAAACAACAAGGATATGGACAGGTTCTTGGGTTGTACTAGATTTTTAAAAGATGAAAGATCTTTAAAAAAAGCTTTGTTGAGGTGTAATGATGTTCAGCAAACCTCATATTTAGAGTCGTATTAGTTACTTTCAACAGATGTTCAAGTGTGTTTCAAAACATCCTTACATAAAACTGACAAGGATCCCCTTTCTTAATACCCTCAATATTCTCAGTCCTTCTTATGCAATTTCTGACTCCAGGGAGATGAAATAACTTCAGGTATTGCGTGTTAGAGCACCTTTTGTTCTAAAGGGACCGGACTCATTATCAGTGGCAAGGGTGTTTCATATTGTTTTGCAACTTTGGGTGGCTTCTGACCTTGTTTCCTGATAGCAGACACTAATTTTGATTTCATTTCCTTATTCCTGGAGCAAGGTTTAGTAAGGACTGTGCCGGTGGGAAAGTGCTGGGAAGGGAAAGCCAGGTCCCGGAGGCCTCAGAAATCCAGACTCTGGGCACAGCTTGGCCCACCTTCCAGAAGTAAAGCTAAATCCTTTTGAGGCTTCTTCAGTAACTGGAACTATCACCTAGCAAAAGCAGGCTCTCAGATTTCTCCTCCTGGGGCACAAATGAAAGAAAGGTGCCCAGGGTCGGCGAAAGGGAGCGGAGCGCAGGAGGAGGCTCAGGGATGGGAACTTGGATGGAGCCCAAGATGGGCCCCTGTTCGCCGATCGCGCCCGATTGCGCCCAGGCGGTGCTTATAAAAATAAACGGAGCAGAGAGCCGGGAGTTAAGGGAGCGCGGCGCGGGGAGGGCGGGGACCACAGCTAGAGGGAGAGGCGGCCCGGCCAAGTTGGAACCGGGAGTCTTCGATTCCTGCTCCCAAGGAGAGCTTGAAAAAAACGTGACGTTAGCGAGGGACAATGGGTGGCAAAAACGGGACGGTTTTTAAAAGATTCAGGTTGTCCTAGCCAAATCTGGACAATAGAAAGGGTTTCTACTCAGGGCCGGAGGGAAGTAAGCGTAAGGTTGTCGGGAGCGGATCGCCGGTGCGCTAGGGGCGAAGCTCCTCTCCGACGCCGGCAGAGGCTGTGGGGCCCCGGCAGCACGAGTTTAACGCCGGGGTGGAGGCTCTGGGGACAAAGGGCCGCAGCCCGAGTGTCCGCGGCAAGCCACCCCGGAGAGCGGCCCAGCCCTGAGCTGGGCTCCCTGCGCGTCCCCTGCGCCCTCCGGACAGGTCCCGCGCGGCAGATCCTACCTGGCTCCGGTCAGGGGCCCCAGGTACGACTCCACCGCCGAGGAGTACAGGGCGACGAGGATCCCCGAGCAGACAACCGCGAACAGGAGCAGCAGCCAGAAGATAGGGACGCGCGGGAGCCCCATGCGGCCCCGGCCCGCGGGCGCCCCGTCGGCCGCAGTCCCGGGCGGAGGGGAGAGGCCCGGGTGCACCAGGCCGGACTCCTGGAGTTGGCCTTCCGGCCCCTGTGGCCCCTCCCAGGCCCGCCGCTCCCCGTCTGCCCGCGCCGAGCCTCCGGACGCCGCCGCACCCTCGGGGCCTGCGCGACGGGTCCTGGGGGGGAGAATGTAGCGCCGGCGCCGGGAACTGCCCTCGCCCCGCCGGCGCCCAGCCCGGGGACACCTAGAGCCGTGGTTGGGCAGGGAGCTTCCCGGTACCTTCAAGGGCGGGCGGGCGCGCGCGGTCCGGGAGCTGCAGGGCGCGGGGAGACGCCGCCACCTGCCGCGTGGGCTGCGCACTGCGCCCTCGGGGGCTCCGGCTCGCGGCTTCCCGACGCCCGAGGCCCACGGGAGGGGCGGCGAGGCTGGAGGAGCAAACGCTGACAGCCCAGACCCTGGGTAGAGCTGAAGGGGGTGAGGTAGGGGGCCTGCCGGGTTGGGATGGGTGGGGGAGCTGAGGCTGTTCATCCTCCTCATTTGGTGACTGGCCGGGGCCCTCAATCGCACTGCATTCCTGTTACAAACCGAGGCCAACCTGGAGGTCTCAGCAGTCCAGAGACACCTGAAGGGT